AATGATTCTTCCCCGCCCGCCCGTCTGTCCGTCCGGCGGTGGCTCGCGATGTCCCGCGGTGTCCCGTGGTGTCTTGCGGTGTCCCGTTAAGTGAGATCGACCGTGAGATTTATAGTGACATCGATATTGAGATCTATATTGAGATCGATACTGAGATCGATGTTGAGATCGATGTGGTGCCCCGAGGTGTCCCGTGGTTTCCCAAAAAGTGAGATCGACAATGAGATTTATAGTGAGATCGACAGCGTGGTGTCCCGTTGAGTGAGATCGATAGTGAGATCGATACTGAGATCGATGGGGTGTCCCGTGGTGTCCTATGGTGTCCCGTTGAGTGAGATCGATAGTGAGACCGATAGTGAGATCGAGAGGTGTCCCGCCTGTGTCCAGTGGTTTCCCGTGGTGGCCCGTGGTGGCCCGTGGTGTCCCGTTGAGTGAGATCGATAGTGAGATCGACAAGTGTCCCGTGGTGTCCCGTGGTGTCCCGTTGAGTGAGATCGATAGTGAGATCGATTGAGTCAGATGTTGGTTCCCCCCCCTCTTCCCCCCCCACGACCTCCTTATCACCCGAAGGGTGGTCGTATATGTATGTATGGTTTGCGAAGCAGTTCGAAGTGTGTTAGGGGGGAGTAGGGCGTTCGACAATGTTCAGCGAGTTCCTTGTTTCTGAACCTGTCGGGCGGTCGTTGCTGGTCTTTGGAGGTTTCTGGAGGTTCCTGGGGGGGAGGCGAAGTAGGAGGAAATGGAACATAGCACGCCCAAAGTAATTACTGGACACGATCAAGTGTCGTGTCATAAGTTCTAACAAAGAGGAAGTGTCCACATTCCGTCTAGCTGCTGCAAGTTTTGGAGTCGAATTTACGCGGCGCTAAGGCGAGAGCCACATCTAAAAACGAGTTGTCATCCATCCGCGTAGTCCTTGGCAGCTTCGAAGACGAATGTGCGCGGTCCTAAGGCGCGAGATAAACTCTGAAATCGCCTGCGCTCCAGCAGCGCAACTGCTTTTGATAGGTAAGACGAATGTGCGCGGCGATCAGACAAGCTCCAGATCTGGGGCCTCTTAAAGGGAGACGAGGGAGAGAAGAAGCATGAGGAGGAGGGGAAGGAGGAGGAAGAAAAAGAAGACGAAGAGGATGAGGGTGGAAAAGGAGGAGGATGGTTTCGATTGTCATTCGGAGGCTTTCGGTAAGTTTCCGGAGGTTCCGGGAGGCTCCCAGGTGAGACGCGGAGGAGGAGAATGAGAAAGATAGGAAGAGGAGAAGGACGACGACGATGGGAGGGGGAGGATGAGAGGGGACGTCGGGGAGAAGGAGGAGAAGAGAATGAAGAGAAGGAGGAAGAAATGAAGGAGGAGTGTCAATTCGCTATGCACTCGTGCTCCTCGTCTTCTCCCCCTCCCTCCCTCCACCCATCCATGCATCCCCTTCAGAAATCAACAGTAAAACCTTGGAGCACCTCCCCTCCTCTTCCTTCTCCATCCTCGCCATCCTCCTCCTCCTCCTCCTCCTCCTCCTCCTCCTCCTCATCCTCCTCCAGTCTCTCCTCCTCCTCCAATCACCTTCCTCCTGCGCCATCACCCCTCGTCCACATTCTCCATTCTCCCTCATGCCCCTCCCTCCTGCTCCCGCATTCCCCCTTCCCTTCCCTCCTGCCTTCTCCCACCTTCCTCCACCTCCTTCCTCCGCCCTCCCGCCCTCCCTCCGTCCTCCCTCCTCCCTCCCGCCCTCCCTCTCTCTTGTTCCCCCTCCCTGCCCCCTATCGCGCCATCCCCCCTCCTGCCCCCCCCCCCCTCCCGCCGCAGTTCCTCCACACCAGCGCTAAACCTCCCCCCTCCCCCAGCTCCTGTCGAGAGCGGGGCGCCGCCTGCCCCGCGCACGGATGCGTGCGCCGAGGGTCTCACCGTTCGAGATACGACGTGCGGTGTGTGTGTGTGTGTGTGCGTGTGTGCGTGAGTGCGTGTGTGCGTGTGTGCGTGTGTGCGTGTGTGCGTGTGTGCGTGTGTGCGTGTGTGCGTGTGTGCGTGTGCGTATGTGGTGTGTGCGTGTGTGCGGGTGTGCGTGTGTGCGTGTGTGCGTGTGTGCGTGTGTGCGCATGTGCGCGTGTGCGCGTGTGCGCGTGTGCGCGTGTGTGTGTGTGTGTGTGTGTGTGTGGGTGCGTGTGTGTGTGTGTGGGTGCGTGCGTGCGTGCGTGCGTGCGTGCGTGCGTGCGTGCGTGTG